TAAAGTTTCTTCGGAAAGAATTTTTACGGAAAATTAACTAACGACCGGAGGCGTAACTCAACTGTCAATTACACACATTGTTGCCGTCACTTCTTGACGGCTTATATATACAAGACTCCGGATATCTAATAGCCTCTCGAGACTTCAGGAAGGGACGTGAACGTTCGAGAATATGACGTGTTATTAGCGTAACGTGACCCCCGCTGTCGTAACATTAATTTATCTCCAAGTCTGTTCTTTCATTCAGTCTGATGGTCTACTTCCCAGCCTTTTAAAAAATATAATCTACTCTGTGGGGGGTCCGGGACGTTTGCCACAGATGCCGTGCGTTAATCCGCTTCTGGAAAATATGTGTGTAAAAGTTAATCCGAACAGTGTTATTTCTCGTGAAAAACTAGCACCACGTGTCATTGTTGTAGCTGGATGTCATTTTATTCTCCTTTTACAGATTTCAGGAGAGAAGCCGATGAAAATAGCATTTAAATCACTAATTCGTGGTTGGGACTAGGTTACATCGTCATTATAATTGGTTTGAAGCTGTTTTCATATATATCAGCTTAGTTATAATATGGTTTCAAAGTTAAAACATTTTTTTATCTTTGTTTCAGCAACTTCTTCACCGGATTATAGTGCTTTTTATTCCACACCTTTCTTCCTGGTGCAATTTGCAAATGGTAGCATTCCAGAAATTCGATTCGCTCAAAACGACACCAATGAACAATCTCGGAACTTCAAACGCCACATTGCCGAAATATTCGCCACTCAGCTCGACAAACTGGCGCCCTCTGTGATGGTTAAAAGTCCTCTTGGCGAACATAGAACTCGTTACGTAATTAGGTTTGTTACGTCAAAACACACCTTTTCACAACTAGAATTGGTTATAATTGTAATGATTCAAAAATACCTTGTTATTTTAAGGGAAACTACCTGTGTTTTGGGTTTCTGTGTTTAATAACTGTCTTTACAACAAAATATGATTATGTTCACTGCCGTTATTATATAGTTTGTTTGTTTGTAGTTAATCACAAAGCTACACAAAGGGCTATCCGAGCTGTACCCACCACAGGTATCGAAAACCGGTTACTGCACAGAGGCTGAGTGCATTTTATTTAAACGATTTCGAAGACTCGCCACGTCAACGCGTCCGGCCAATCCTATCTAAAGAATGTGCATCTTGACAATAGCTCAGCAGCGTAGTTTCCTTTGTAAAAGGCTTCGTCCTGTCAATATCCAACTTCTTCTCACTGCATGCTTTCCATAAGCCATCTATTGCACCAACACCGTGTCCCAGCACTCGTATGGAATAGTATGAATGCCCGTTTCATTCTCCAGCTGCCTGAGGTATACGACGGTTGAACGTATCTATGTCGCTTTTCTATACGGAGATTCTTTTTGATTATGTTACATGCTCTCATTGAAAATCGTATATTTGAACACATCTTTATTATCTGAATGTATGAATATTGTACGTCAGAAATTTCTGTTACGTGTCCTTTTCGAAAGCGATGAATTTTCGGTAGCAACACACTGGGTACAAAATGCCTAACAGTGTCAAAATGTATTACTTATACAATCTGTTCTACCGTGACTTTATATCGGCCCGGGATTATCAAATGACTTGCTGATTTGCATATTCAAAATCTGTTTAACGTACTCAATCTTCTGTAGATACAGTGTAAATAGAATGTTTTAATTTCATTAACAATTAAAACTGTAACGAGAAATTGATACTAAAATCTTTGGACTACATTGCTGCTGGAACGAACTTACTCAGTTAAATAAATAATAATAATAACATAAAAATTAATTAAAATAAAAACATTCAGTGAACCATCAGGAATGAGCTAAGACATCATTTAAAAACAAAGAACAGTAAATAGTCCTCTTTGGCTATAAAAATAACAGCAGATAGTCCTTTTAGCCTATAAAATAACAGTAAATAGTCCTTTAGCCTATAAAGATAACAGCAAATAGTATTTTTAGCCTATAAAAATAACAACAAACAGTCCTTTTAGGCTATAAATAATAGTAAATAGTCCTTTTAGGCTATAAAAATAACAGTAAATAGTCCCTTTAGCCTATAAAAATAATAGTAAAAAGTCCTTTTTAGCCTATAAAAATAACAGCAGATAGTCCTTTTAGCCTATAAAAATAACAGCAAATGATCCTTTTAGCCTATAAAAATAATAGTAAAAAGTCCTTTTAGCCTATAAAAATAACAGCAGATAGTCCTTTTAGCCTATAAAAATAACAGCAAATAGTCCTTTTAGCCTATAAAAATAACAGCAAATAG